TTTTTTGCAGTATGTCGGCCGCCCTAAGTGAAGGCAGGCGCGACAGGCCCTCAGGGCCTCGATTTTCAGGGTACCCCGCAACTGGTGAAATTCAGACAGTTGYGCTGCGCCAGTTGGTTGAAGGCGCCCAGGCCCAGGCCATATTTTGCAAATGTATCTGAATGGTGACCTGGGCCAGACTCGTGGAAAAGGCCGTGAGCAGGCCAAGGGCAGTTGGGCACATGTAATCATCAGGCCCTGGGCCTGCGTGTGAGGTCTGGGCCTGTGCCTACYGGGGCCTACYGGAATCTTCCTGGACTGGAYGCAGGCAGRCCACTTCGATATARGGAAGGGCCTGCCTCCTCATTCGGCATTYGGGTGCTGGCTGCATGYTGCRCGAGCGCTGCTGCGCTATTTGCTGGCTGGCTGGCACTCACGCTCTCACGGGCGAGCAAGAAGTAGCGGGCAGCCATAGCCGAGCTGCTCCRCTGTGAGCTGGGTGTGACGCAAGGTGGTCCTTGRGTGCAAGTGGCATCTGTGCGGYGTGGATCGGGGTTGYGAGTGTTGYGAGAGACATACCTGGTGCTGGAAGCGTGCGGCATTGTCCGCTGTATGCTCGTACTTCRGGGAGCTGTTGTTGTCAACRTCGGCATTGTAGTATTAGGCTAGATAGGATCTGCCACAAGTAGTCTGGGCGCCGAGCGYCAATAGGATATSAACTCTTGTTCTTCGTTGATGATGATGAGAGACTATTTCAGCATTGTCAATTACGAACTATTGGTGTGTTCTGATTTGGTGAATCTCGTGATGCATGACTGCTGTTGGTTCGAGGTCAAGACTATCTGGACACATATGTATGATGCTGTTTGATTGCTGGAGTTCGCTAATGCTCATCTTCCTTGCAATGTGGTATTAGAGCTGTGGTACGATTGCGCTCATCTGGCGCTTGTCTTCTACCTTATGCGGTACATACATGCGGTCTGCTGGGAGAGTTTGGCCGTAAGTGGTGTGTAGTGAGGAGGGTGGAGACGAGTGTGAAGGTGACCCAGGTGGTGAGGGGCATCGCCTGGAAGGCTAAGGTGTAAATATTGGGTGTTCGTAGTGTGATGAGAACTATCTGTTGGGTGATTGAGGTTGAGGTGGAACGACGAAATGCTAGTTGTGCCGATGCTGTGACTGGTCATCGCAATCATCTTCAGGTCATCTGGTGAGATTACCTTTGTGGTTGGGGGCAGCATGAACGAGGTACGTTGCTCTTAACCTTATCTACCCTCTTCATCACTTCTTACCGTGAGGTTGTGAGTTCTGTCTTGAGAGTCCTCTCATCGTGAGGTGTCGTGTGCGCTCAACCTTGAGAGTCGTGATTGTTCACGTGGAGCATCTGGGGGAATTCGGGCGGAGCTTCTTGAAGGGCCCTGGACGAAGCACTGGGTCACGGTCACCATGCCAACCCACTGGGTGTAGTACACGCATGCTTCACTGCAAGTCATTGGTTCTGCTGCTTGCGCATGATAGGGGTTAACTCGAGTGTGGCAGCCTCTACAGATGCTTACCAGACCGTCTATAAACATTTCTGGCTCGGGACTCGGCTCTGATCTGGCTGTGATCGTTGTCCTGCTGCGACGTAAAATAATTCCTGATGTCACTTGGGGGCGGACGTTAAATTGCCTCTTGATCAGCCAGATCATCCGAGTGGAAGGCTCGTCGGCGTACGAGGGTAAATAAGAGTGTTGTGGCTGCCTTGCTCGACGATAACCCGGGGCACAGGGGTGGGACCGGATTGCACACCTTTTTAGACACGCTTGGCTTTTGATGCGAAGAAACATGACACCGTGACTTTGAGAAGAACCAAGGGAGGAGTAGGTTCCAGGTGATAAGTTCGGGTTAAATTCCATGCTATGAACAGACCCAGTCAGTCAACATTATTTTTATTTTGATTAGTTAGATGGACAGCCATGTGACATCTGATAGACAGCATTAGTTTAGAATATTGTTTATTCCTGGTGCTTCCTCTGTTTGAGAACTAATCTTACTAAAAATAGTAGGAATCTGACTTACCTGTTGACCCCA